GGAGTGGAGGAAGACTCTCTGTTATTTTGTGATTTTTTTAAGGTATTGGAGTATCAGGAGATGGTAGTTATAACCTGATGGGTAGTGTTAATAAAGGTGGCACTCGTAGATGAAAGTGCTATAGGTAAAAGAGATCGATAATGTGTATGTGGAGTGTTTTGTTACTCAGGTGCCTGGTGTCGGCCGCCTCACAAATCTACAACATTGATCAGAAACACTCTTGTTGATGTGAAGTAATACCATCTACTCCTTCACCTAACATTGGCTACCGTGTGTTGATGGTGTGGGTTGGTGTAGAGGAGGTAGAGGTATTGTTGGAGATGTAGTGAGGGAGAGAGTTGGAGGTGAGGGTTTTTTGTGGTGGTGCGCGGGTTGACAGTCTTGTATGATGAGTCAGGAACCTCGGCTTCTACTCACGCCAAAACCACCAAAAATCTTCCATAATGTGATGATGGACACTTATCCTTAACCTTCAGTAGCTACCACAGAATCATTACCATAATAATTTCGTTTTAAGTGATGTAAAACTTGCCTGCATAAAGAGTGTGTGATGAAACATGGCCAACTTGCCTCATGTATTTTCTGAGAACTGGTCTAGTGCTCGGAAGTTTATATTGAATAATTAACATAATGATAAACGACCAATGTTGTCTATGATCTGATGTGATAAATATAATGAAGTGGGTGCAATTTCACATATAACTTGACATTTCAGAGTCGAATTTAACACATGAAGGCTCAGCTGTTGACAGTGTTTATACATGTACTTGTATCCATAAAAGTGCCTTTTAGGTTTGGCTGCATAATTTGCTTCATTTCTGGTTTTCATTAAAATGTTTGCTTTAATTCTTAGTAAACAAATCCAGTGGTGGAGCAAGAAAAAAGCAATAGTTAACTTATTTTTGTAAGTGACATGTATGCAATCTGCCTGGTATTATTTACGAAGTGTTTATTTGTCGGCAGTGGATATTTTGCCGTGACCGATAAGTTTCTACTAACACTTTTTTATCGTGAGTGCACTCTGGCTAATCGTCCATTACCGCCGAACAACACGAGAATTATATTTGATTGTGACTGGTGGCATTTGGTATTTATTTCACCGTGAGTCAATCGTTGTGTAGCTGTAAACATACTTAACCATATTTCTGTTGTGCATGGAAACTTATCATTATAAAAGAGGCAACATTTACTAGAACCTAATAGAACTTGAAACCAACCAAAGGAAGCTACCTAACCTAGCTGGGGGGCAGACTCCCGTCATATTAAACAGAAAGTACTTAGCCAATCAGAGTGCATTCATGGTAAAATAGCATTAATAGGAACTTGGCCAGTTATGACAAAATATCCGTTACATTATTTGTCTGGTCACAGACTTCTACTTACTATTGTTATATGTCCGGCATTCATTCTGATTGGTTGAGGTTCATGATGTCATTACACATCCTAGATAACTAAATTCAATCACTTGCAAAAATGACGGCTGTAGATGCAGACTTAGACACTTAGCGATGGTTTTAAATCCTTTGAGGAAGTGAAATGTGCTACGGAAAAGTTTGAATGATCTCGGCCTATGACTGCAGTTGGGGGGTAAGGAGAAATAACTGATCTTACTTAAGCTGCAGCAAGTACCATAGGCAGTGGCCTCTACACCCTTGGTAAAATGACAAAAATCATCACTGAACTATGTTTGATTTTAGGAGGAACTACAGGTACATTACTCACAGATGATAAAGAAGTGGTAATATAGTACAATGGGGTCTGCCCATATCGTCACCAAACGTTTTCATCACAGCGTTCATTCCCATCAATATGTACACAAAAATGATTGTCACTTGGGATAGAAGATAATAAAAAACACTTAAGACAATTTATTAAAGATGAAAAAAAAAATTGTTAATACGCCTGCAATCATCTCACTGCTCGGTGGTTTATGAAAATATTTACCAATGTTCAATCAAAACACCTAGTTTACAAAAATGTATTACAAAATTATGCCTTGGCATAACAATACATTGGATCATGCAAGCATCTCACTAAGACAATTTATTAAAGACGAAAATAAAAAAAAATTATTACTCATGCAATCATCTCACTTAAACAATTTATTAAAGACAAACACACACATTATTTTTTTTTTATACACCTGCAACCATCTAACTTAAACAATATGTGAAATACTAAAATTTACTCTTGCAAGCTTGGCAGAAGACATTGAAAATTTTTTGGGGGGAAATTAAAAGTGGTGATATTTTTTCTTCGTATTCATCCCACAGCATCCAGAGATGGACTTGTTTGTCATGATTTGCTTTTCTTGTACACAATTTTAGCCTGTGCTCAGACTGGTTACTAAGCACTGGAGCAGGTTCAGATACATTCAGGAGCCGGTGCATGCCCAGTACTTGCCATCAGTGCGTGAGACGTAACCGATTGCCCAAGCGGCTAACGAGCCTATCAATGGTGAAGAGGATAAAAGTAATATATTCACGAAAATAAATATTGCTTGTGATGGAAAATAATAAAAAACACTAAGGCAATTTATTAAATATGAAAAAAAAAAATTGTTAATACGCTTGCAATCATCTCACTGCTCGGTGATTTATGCACTGGTGCCAAATCACCTTCATTTGTTCTGTATTTTGTTTACCAATGTTGAATCGTTTTTTTATTAAACAATTAATATTCATGTATAGTAAAAACACAATAAATCTTCAATTGTTCTGTATTTTGTTAATTTACAAATGTTTTAATAATTTTCTTTATTAAGAAATTAATATTCATGTATAATAATTTCTATTCGTGTAAAATAATAACTTACAATTTGTCACTAATACCAGCGACCATTAGTGGTGACGAAACGGATTTGATATTGGTAACGAAATGGGGTGTATCCAGTACAATACTCTGAAACTGAGTCTTGGGCAATAGGTACCCTGAGTACAGACAGATCAAGAAAACTGAATTTGCATTCTCTTGAGAGATGAAGTGAGGGATAATATGATAAACATGTATAAATGAAAGATGGGGTTAAATAAAGGTGATATAACTAAGGCACTTAAACTATCAGTCCAGGAGCAAACAAATAACAATGGTTTGAATTAGATGAAATTGTGGATAATTGAAACAAGTTACCATCACCATCAACTTGAACTAACTGGAAATTTTAAATACGTATAGGTTGGGCAGATACCTTATTTAAATGATAAGGGTTGGATGTAAACAAGAGGTGTCTAACAAAGGCAACATTTATGTAAGTAAACTAAATCATTTTGTATTGTACTCACTGATGGACGGAGGTGTTTGGTGGGTAGAGGAGGAGGGAGGTGAGTCACTGAGACCCGGCGGGTGGCTCCTCCTCCCGCTCTGACTGGGGTTCCTCCGCTTCTGTTTGCTTCATTTTCGTAGCAAGGCTAATGGTCTCATGTTGCTTCTTCACAACACTAGCATCAGTAGTACTTAATGGGCACTTGGAAGCCATTTCGAATGGTTAGAGTACAGTTTTAAGAGCAAAAATGCACGAACGCTGTGGTAGCCTGGCAAAGACTGGGGACACCGTGACGCTCCGCGGGTGAGAGCGTAGAGCGTCATGATGACAGGCACTGTACAAAGTAGTCTGTGACGACGTTATACTGAATCGGTGGGACGTTATCCGAATCATGGGTATCTAAAGAATAGCGACGTTATAACGAAACAACGTTATCTGGGGCAACTTGATGTTAAGCGAGGACTTACTGTAGTTACAAACAGCTTCATATTACAATTAAGACAATAAGATAAAATAATATTGCATACTCACCTGGAAAGTTATGGACAAGCATTCTAATGTAAACATACAGCACTATATGGTTTAGAGCAGATGTTAAATTAGTTGTTGTATTGGAAAAAAAATCAAATAGTTTGTGAAACACGTGGCTACCTTTGGTTCGGTTTTGGGCAGTGAGAACAAATGAGGCACTTCATAATTTCTCTTTTCCCCAAGTCTACAGTAAACTTACCAGATCATCAGATGCATTCATTCAGTAGGGATCCTCTATGTAGGAACAGCTCCTAGACTATTCCCAGGAAGGCACATAATGGATAACCAAGGCTTTTCCTTTATTGGTGTTGCTCTTACTCTCACATAATAAATTGTTAACTGTACTTTGACTTGCAGTTGGAGATTGAAAATTGGTAATTATGACTACAGTACAGGATACTTTATACCCCTTTATTTAGTGCAGATGTACCTTATTCATGACCTTCAGTTACTGTATGGAATACTTTGCCTCAGATGGTCCTAGTTTTGTCCAAATTAGTGTTTTTGTACTGTTCTACAGCCATGCAGTAGAATATAGTTGTTTATGGCACCAGTACTCCTTTGATAGAGTACAATACTGTACAATGTATTTCTAAATCAGGATTGGATTAGAGGGTTTCTTGGTACCAGAGTTGTCTGGGATTGAGAGATCGTTGTGTTTGTACATGTGAAAGGAGATTGTGTAGGTTTTCCCATGTTAGGGAATTGGTGTTAGGGTTAAGAGATTTTCCTTCCTTTGTTTAGGAATCTCTTCTTTAAATTTTTGTTTTGTTTTGTTTTCTTCAGCCAAACTTATAATAGAGAGATAATTCTAACAAGGACCACAAGTTGATGGTTCCTTTGATCTTGATAATAGGACTCCTATTTTCTGTGGGGTGCTGAATATATTGCAGAGTAAATAGGAGCAAAATTGGTTTTAGCTCTTGTGCTTAAAGTAACTGTAGGTGGTTCTAGTCCTTAGTTTGGACTGTACTGTATGCAGATCGAGCAGTAGCTACCTTACCAAGTAGAGGGGTAATTGCAAATGGAATGTAGGAAAGATAGATTATGGTTGGGGGTAGATAACTATGCCTGTAATGAAAAGTTGAAATCGACCCCACTTCATTTATCACATACTGTACAACGTTTACACCTACAGTTATGGTAATATGTACAGCAGCTATATACTTTACAGTACTGGATTAATATTCTTATTCTTGTTTTTCAGACTTAATCAGCCACAATGGAGGAAGATACAGAATACCTCAAGTTGCCTCTGGAAGACCGCTGTGTACACAAGGTAAGACGCATATTTCATGTTGCTCTTAATCAAATTCCCAATCCCAAGGAATTTTGATGGCCTGTATTGTAGGTTTTGGGTGATTGCAAATACTGTATTCATGCTGAATGAACACTGTTCATTGTGTTGATGAGGAGTGTTCTCTGCTGTAGTATGCCTGATATTCTGGAATATTGTGTTCAGCAAAAATTTTTTCAAGCATTCTACTGTACTTCCATCCATTAGCTACTTTTTCTTAATGTGAAAGGCACCTGCCGTGTGCTTCCCCTTGTAAACTGTCTTCACTGTTGTTGATCCTGGTAGACCTTCTCTTCAATCTCTTGGTTAAATGCTTTTTATTACTGTATATACTCTATACAGTATTGATTAATATGTTATTCATGTTATATCTGATGTACAATAACTTGCAGTTTTGCCAATTCATACCCTTTTCTAAATCATGTTGCTAATAGCTTTTTTTCTTCCTTTGACAGTTATGGAAGGCCCGTCTCAATGGTTATGAAGAATGCACAAAGTATTTCCCAAAGATTACAGATGAGCGATCTCCAGAGTTCAATAAATTCGCTCCTCTTATGAAAAAATTTGTTACAGATAGTAATGCTGTTGCTCAAGAAAAAGCCTTGGATGCAGTCTTGGCATTTGTGGAGAATGCCCATGTGGCTAGCAGGTATGTGTAAAACTGTACTATAATGTTTCTCTGCTTACAGCTAAGTGACAATTGCAAAATATCTACATCAAAGCTAAAACATGTACTGGTCATCATCATCCCAGGGAAACCCACACAAGCATGAAAGATGGCTGTAAAGTGACGATGATGATCCCAGGATTCTGCCACCCTCTGGCTATTTATGAAATTCCTGATTGTTATTGTTGCCCCTCCTTCACATGGGTGCAAAGCTGATGAGCCTCAGGTGTTGAGCATCAATTGCTGTTTGAAAGATTGATTGTATCAGGCGAAATTTGTGTATGTAATGAACTGGTGAATTTTGGTAACTGGGGCAGTGTTACAATTTGGACACTCTTGTGGGTGAGTTAGTGTGGTGATATTGGCTTAGGGAAGGATGGTAACCACAGTGTAGTCTGGTGAGATGTACTCTTGATGTCTCTGAGGAGAGTGAGTTTCATAGGTACAGTACATATATCTTGTGGCAGTGTGCTAAGTCTACTGTTGGTTTGATGTCTTATCTGTGAGGGAGTTTGCTTAGTTGTTTTCTTTGTGTTTGTGGATGGGTGTGTTGGGAGGTAAATGCCTGAATATTGTTTTGAAATATTAAGCACTACAGTATATTTTCTCTTTAATGTACATATTTTAGTCACTAATAAGGTTTTATTATGAATAGTAAAGGAGGGGAATTGATTGGTAAAAACAGAATTGCACATGATATGGTATACTGTACATGCTGTGGAAGACTACACTCATTTAGTGATGGTGTGTGTCCATCCTAAGTCATTCCCTACTCATCAAGTTGCTTTCATTGAGGATTTTGATTTTGTGTTAACTGTATATGTGTAAAACAGTATTATTATTATTATTTTATTGTACCTTAGGGCATTAGGATTCATAAGCTGAATTCATAATTAATTTTGAAAGGGAACTTTGGAGTTTTATTCATGAGATCAGATGTATGCATTGTTTTACAGCACAGTTTATGTTGTTGATAAATTTGAGATACTGTTGTGTGCATTAGTGGGGAAAAGACTTAAAAAATTGAAAACAGTTTTGAGTAAATTAAATGTTCGGTTTTCTTACATGTTTGTTATATTCACTAAACATTAAAACTTACCGTATACAGTGTATATGCTTCTTATGTGGTAGACAAAGGTTGATTCTTTTGTTAAGTAAAGGAAATTATCAATTCCCTGATTTTAATTTGCTTTGTTCTCTCAACAGAACAGCAGGTGACTGCACATCTGGTGTTGTCCAAAAGTGTTTGGCTGCTCCTAAGCGAGGGACACAGGAAAAGGCATTGGAAATCATTCTAATGTATTGTGAAATTGAGAAGTATGAAATAGTTCAAGAAGAACTCATGAAAGGTTTCTCTCAAAAGAATCCAAAAGTTGTTGCAGGATGTGTACGAGCATTAACTACAGCTTTAAGGTACGAGCATGTGCTGATTACATTAGATTTTAATCATAACTAAGATCTAGATAGTTCAATAAAGTGTGGTTGGCAGATCAGTCTACATTATCGGGGATTGAATTAGGAGTGAAAGGAACCTGGATGTCCTTGTTTTGTGTGGGACAAAGATGAGGGAGATGACATTTAAGGGTGAGCAAATGAGGATAGGAGATGTTAGTAAAGTCAGGAGTGTCTGAGGGTGTAGGAGAAAAATAAGATAGAGTGTAAAGGTGTTAAGGGATGAAATATGGAGTATTATGATGGAATATATGGGGCTGCATCTAGTCATAAGTGAATCATAATTGAGGAAGGGAGAGAACAGTGGGTTAAAGTTAGTACATATTCACCAGGAGTTAAAAGAGTGTGGAAGAATAAGAAAGTTTATGAAAACCTGAGCAACTTTTGTATATTGGAAGTTTTACTGTAAAAGAGTAATGGGGGATTTATATGCAAGAGCTGGTGATAGGGAGATAATGGGTATATAAAGTGCCAGAAGTGAGTGGAAATGAAAAGAGTGAAATAGTAAATGTTGAGAGATGGTTGACTATATGGTTAAAGAAAAAAGAAGTTAAGTAACATAGCAGCAGGATAATGGAGAGGAGAGAGGATCTTGAGAGTATGTGTAAGTTGATGATGGTAGTGAATGTGGTATGAGGGGTGACATGTCTGACCGTTATATAAGAGGAAGGAGATTACCAGTTAATGGATGGTTAACCCCTCAGCTGTGACTTGAGATAAGTTTGTCTTGCATCAAAAGAGCAATTATCTTGAAAACTGAAAGTTCTTAGGAAAACATACATTGCACACTAAGTGATGAAGTTAAAGGGATATGAAGTGAACATTGAACAATTTCTAAATGTAACAGACAAGAGAGGCAGAATACTAATCCTGTTTAGAATTTGGTGGATTAAATCATATCAAAGAAAATGAGGAAGTAATAATGGAGGAGGAGGTACCTGTAAGACTGGCAGTAATTTCAAGAATGTTAAGACACAAGAAGTAGATGTGGTCACTGTTAGGATGGTAGGTGGATTATTGATTTAATTAATGGTCAGTGTTGTGGCTGTATATGGCCGGGCAGGGTACCATTGGAACAATTTAGAGCCTTTTCAGTTTCCCTGCATCAATGGAAAGAATAAGGTTTAAAAACTATAGAAGAATAAATCTGTTGAGCACATAGTACTGTACTGTATGGCCTTTTTTGTCCAAATTGGTCATGACCAGTGGTGAACACAGCTAAACGAAAAGTTAGCTTCGCTAACTGCTAATCCGCTAACTAAAAAATTAACTTCGCTTACGCTAAACCGCTAAACAGAAAAAAAATTAGCGGAAGCTAACCGCTAACTTTTATTATATGAATTTAGCTTCATTTTTTTGGGGGGGGAAGCTCTAAAACCCTTAAAAATAGACCTAGAGAGCTGAAATTTTCATATGTTGTCTTGTAGCTTAGACATAGAGCTTTCCAGAATGGTATAGCATGCCAAGATCAGATGATGATCAGGGTGTACACAAATAATTAAATGAACAAATGAAATTAAACATTACTTTACTTTCAAGTTTCAACATACACTTTATAATCTTTATTTACTGTACGAAAAGGCAGAAAGTATTAAACGAATCCAAAAACTATAGTACTGTATAGCATAGGTAGCAAATAGCATCATGCCAAGTTCAGATGATGATCAGCTTATCAAGGTGTACACTGTACACAATTTCACAAATAATTAATTTGCATTCTCATACAACCTATCGACCTTATTCATTATTCATGTAAATATGCAATACCAACCACATCGCATTATACCAGTGCATTTTTATATAGCTTATTGTTGATCTTAGTCATTATACCAGTGCATTTTTATATAGCTTTTTGTTGGTCTTTGTCATGTAAATAAACAGAAAACTCTAAACTTTAATGAAAAGTAAGTTTTTAGAAAATTTTGTTTGGCACACACCTTGGATGACATCCTGGTTATGAACTTATGCAGTACTTTGCATAACCAAAAATATTGACACAAAAATATCCTAATTAAATTAACAAATAAATGAGAAATGAAATTATACATTAGTTTACAATTACATTCTATGATTCTTTCAACATACACTGACAGTCTTTATTTACTGTAAAAAAAGTATTAAACTTTAATAATCGAAAAAATCCGTTCACTCCGGCTGCAGTGGCTGGGCCTTCTCCATCGCCTAGACGTGACGCTGGTTGCCCTTCATAAACATCATCCTCTCAAGGTTGCCATCTGACAGGGTGGCTCTCTTGGCCCTCAAGACCTCAAGATATCTTTGCACGTACTAACACGCAGTCAGCCAAGCGTGCCTGACTGGCTGTTGGAGACAAGCGTTGCGGCGTCACATGCTTACAACAGACAGGAACAAACATGTATAAATTTTGTTAGCGGGCTTAAAGTTAGCGGAACTAAATTTAGCGGAAGCTAATTGGTCCACTAATGGTTTCCAAAGTTAGCCAAAACGCTAATCCGCTAACGAGAAAGTTAGCTTCGCTAATTAGCGGTTAACGGAACCGTGCCCACCACTGGTCATGACTGCAGCAGTATTTGAATACAGGTAGTTCTCCTATAACGCGATAATTGTGTTCATGTAAAATATCGTGTTATAGAAAATCGCGTAATAGAAATAACAGGGCTTATGGAGAAAATAGGGTTAGGTGCAGATTACTCGAAATCGAAAAAATTTAGTAGTTAGCCTAATACAAAGGATAGCACAGTCTAAATAAATGTTACATTCATATCTAATAATGAAATCATACAGTAAATGTAACACTTTAGTTGATGGGGGAGAAGGGTGATTTTGAGGTTGATAAAATCGAGCTTCTCTTCAAGTGTTATATCCTTTCTTTTACGATCATCACCGGGAATTCTATCACCAGAACGCTTCTCGTTGATATTCTTTACTATATTCACAGTTAATACAGTGGGGTATGCTATAACGAACGAAACTCCTACAACGAACATTATTTAATTTTTTTTTTGTTTTTTTCTAATTTATTGTTTTTTTATTACAAATATTAATGATATTCTTTATTTCAGGGGTTTAGATGCATATTTATGCACTTTTTTACAATTTTTACAATTTTATATTATATTTTTCAGTGTTAAGTGGTTGTATTTGGGGGCCTGGAACGGATTAATCCTATAACGAACGAATGCTATAACAAACAAGGTTCTAGAACCAATTAGATTCGTTATAGCATACCCCACTGTACCACAAAATTGGAGAAATAGTAAGCAAAAATCGCGTTATAGCAAACAAGCGTTCGCGTTATACAAATATCGTTCCTAATTCATAAATCGCGTTAGAGCAAATTCGCGTTATCAAAACACGCGTTATAGCAGAACTCACTGTATATGTAAAATAAGGTTAGAATACATATGTATGATAAACCCCCATTAAGTGACATTTGTGTGAAATATCTGAAGTTGGTATTTTGTCCATTGAAGTTAGCTTTTCAGAGAATGTTTTATCTGTATAACAACTGCAGAGTAACACAATCAAGATTATATTTCATTGTCCCAGAATCGTCATGAGAGACTAGAGAAGTCAATGGCAGCAGTTTCAAGTGTCTCCGGGCATATGTCTGTATTTTGTAAACTCACCTTATGATGTTTACCCCAATGAGGTAGATACAGTATATTTTGTCTGCTAATAGACCTTTCTTTCTTCAGGGAATTCGGACCAAAAGTGATCAGTCCAAAACCATTAATGAAACAGGTGCATACATTACTAGAAGACAGAGACAAAAATGTGAGAGAAGAGGGGAAAAAATTGGTTATAGAAATGTACAGGTGGATCCGACAGGCATTAAAACCTCAAATGTCTTCTCTTAAGCCAGTTCAGGTAAGTTGAAAGAGTTTGAACTTTATGCTTCTTGGCATTTTAATTTCTAGTGTGTGTTTTGATGCTTTCATGATATCCCTTAAAAAAAATTGCGCCTATCAAAACTGTCGTGCCTATCATTTATTATTTTGTTCAATATTTCTTCTACTGTTCGTAGTCTAAACAGATAAGCCAGGCACATGTAAGCATTGTCCATATTTTAGCTCTCACAATGTCTTAGGAGTCCCAAACATCATTTCCTTGTGGTTAGAACACTAACGTAATTACCGTGTCCTGTCTCCTTAATGTTTTGCATCTCGGTACTACTTCCCCTTCTCTCTCAAACTGCACTCTATATCTTCCCTTAAAAGTATGTACTGTAGTTGTTACAGGTATTGTATATGAATCAGTAATCACATTTCTCTTCAAAAAAGTTAACATCAATGTCTTACTGATTTTTATACAGCATATGTGAAGATATAAATGTGATGTTTATTTTTACAGTGATATTGTTTTAATTATAGGCTCAGTCAGATTAACTCAAAGGAACTTCAAACCATGTACAGTAGTGTGCTTACTAAAAATAAAACAATTCTATCTTTTTATTCTTAATTCATATATTGTATTATATGTTAATTAACTTGGAGCTGAAGTGATAGAATGAAGAAATTGAAGGTTGGAGTCAGCTTCAATTACCTCAGAGGTAAAATGATGATTGATTCTAAGCAATTCGTGTTCTTTTTACACTTTTGTACTCACTATCATCTACTTTATATTTATCAACAGGTTCAAGAACTGGAGGCAGAGTTTGAAAAGCTTGGGGGTGAAAAAGTGGTTCAGACTCGCTTCCTACGATCTCAACAAGAACTCAAAGCGAAGATTGAGGCTCAAGCAGATGGAGATGATGATGAAGGTATTAGCCGACTAAATATTATTTAAACATAAGAATAAGTGTAGTATAGTGAGTAAGAGGCTTTGAGGAAGGTGTTGATGCAAAGTCTTTAAAACTGGAATATGTATAAAAGGTGTGGCTGAAATGTTTTGAGGTGTTCCCATAGTTAGTTAAGGTTTTGCTGCTGTAGACATCATTGTTGAAAATCACAATAGAGATTTATATTAATTTATATTTAACATTGATTTTCCAGATGAGGAAGAGGAGGAAGAAACACCACAGATAGATCCATTTGACTTAATGGATCCAGTCGACATTCTTTCCAAACTCCCAAAAGACTTCTATGAAAAGGCTAGTTGTTGATAGCTTGTGTAACATCTTGAAGCTATTGATTATACACATTTAAATCAAAACCAGGAGATTAATTGTATACATAAATTGGTATTGTATATGAATATGTTGATGAATGATAGTTTACTTTTACAGTTGTTTGTTTTTGATCTAGGTTGAAGCAAAAAAGTGGCAAGAACGCAAAGAGGCTGTAGAGTTACTACATCCACTAACACAAAACATAAAACTGGAGGCGGGTGATTACCATGACCTTATGAAGGTCTTGAAAAAGGTAGGTTGTGTGGCATTTTTACTGAACCAATTCCTTTAAAAGCAAATGTTGTCATCTAATGAATGTTTGAGTGTTCATTAATTACTCTTTCCCTTAGGTTAGATTAAATCAGACAAACATTACTATAAGGCTGTGAAGTATGGACTCAGGATGCAATAGGAAGAAGCAAATTAGGAGCTATAAAATTATATGTACTGGATTGTGGAGAGGATATAGTGAACAAGAAATATAGAAATAAGGTGTGAAAGAACTGTTAGACAGAGAACTCAACAAGGGTGATTTAGACATGATAAATGATTTGGAAGTGAAAAATTGTGGAAAGGTTGTTTGATTCAGAAGTGGGTTGTAGGAGGGAGAGGGAAATACCAAAAACGTAATTTAAAGATGTACTGGAAATGAGGGAGATGACATCCTGGAAACCACAAAGAGTTTGAATGAGTGAAAAGCTAGTGATTTGTGAGAAGAGGTGCTGCTAATGGTTGTTTGTGGGAATCATTAGGGATAAATCCAGTTCGTTTATGGGAGCCTTTTTGGTGGATGGAGTTCTATAACAGAACTTCTATAGCACGAAGAAGAATGAATGGCTGTTTGAGGATTGTCTGTGTGTATGCATGCTATCTTAGATTATAATGAGAAAAGGCTTGAAAGGGTGGTAAAGATATATAGACTAGCTATGTTTTTAATAAGTATTTAGTTGAATGAAAAAAAAAAGAGAAATTGTGCTTGAATGTAATATTTGTATTGACAAATTAAGATATATTTGATAAAAATTAATAAAATGCTGTCATGGATAGAACATAATTTGTTAAAATTTTTAATGACAATGTAGATGGTAATTTAAGGGTGAAGTGAATGAATGTTTGTGATAAGATAAATAAAGAGTAAAGGAATGGTCATTTTTGGTAGGTGGAATATGTATATAATTTTTTTTATAAAGAACAATAAAAAAATAATTAAATAAGATTTTTAACATCATAGTAAGGGGAGATTTTCCTTATAGATTTAGTTATATTTTATTTATTTTTTTTTTTTTTACATAGCACATGGTATGTGTGGGTTCTCACTTAACAGTTATTTTACACCTTTTGTCAGATGATTGCCAAGGACACAAATGTGATGATAGTAGCCCAGGCAGGCCATTGTGTTGCTGGTCTTGCAAGAGGATTAAAAAAGAAATTCTCTCCCTTTGCGCAATTATTCACCGAGACAATCCTGGAGAAGTTTAAGGAGAAGAAGGTCAACGTGGTCAGTGCCATGCGTGAAGCCATCGATGCTGTGTACCAAACGGTAATAATGCTTTATTATTTCCATCATTGCCAAACTCGGCGATGTACCGGGTTGTGTCATCTGTTATAGCACCCGTACATTAGAACCCAACGTGTATATGGATTTTTTTGTTTCAGATTTTTTTTTGGCTGCCTTTTAATAACATAAATTTTATAATTCTTTGCAGACAACCTTAGAAGCCATTCAGGAGATAGTGAGTACAGCGCTGACCAACAAAAACCCCCAAGTGAAGGCTGAGACCACTGCTTTCTTGGCCAGATCCTTGTGCTACTGTACCCCAGCTATACTCAACAAAAAGATGCTTAAAGTCATCACTGCAGACTTATTACGAGGGCTGAATGAATCAGGTCAGGAAGATTGTTCAGTACTGTAATGATAAAAACAAGATGTATTGTAAGAGTGCAATTTGGATATACTTAGGGAGGCATAGTCTTGAGGTAACCATTGGGATTATGTTTTGTAGTAAAATTAGGAGTGAAGAACTGTATGTTAACCCTTTTGAATACAGTATCTGCATTTTATAGTTTGTACACCTGATTTTCTATTTGACTAACTCTTGCTGACTGGGAATATTCTAGAACATAGCCCCTGCAGTTGGCCAGGTATTACTGTACAATACTTGAAAATTGGTTATTTGATTTATTTACAATTATCAGAGATGAAGACTTGGTTCCTGAAGCAGATATTTGAAGGGGTTAGTGGCACGACTCATTTTTAGATTCTTGGCACATTTCTCATTGTGTATTATGGAATGATCTCAAGAAGTGCACCAGCAATAGTTTTCATTTTTCAGGTTAATCATTGGCATTTAGTGTGGATTAAAATGTTTTAATGGGTTCAGTTTAACCTTTTGTGTGCATTTTACCCATTTTTTTCAGGAAAGTAAGAACTCTTCTTATTCTCTCATGATGTCTTCCTCATAGTGATATATTATTCTGCAGCATCTTGTCTCATTTTTAGTCATCTACATCATCTTAGTAAAAGTTGGGTGTACAGTTTAGGTGTATTTTTTCTCCGCCTGTTAATGCCGGTAGATCAAGAAATGGGTTCCATCTGTCATGTGTTTTGTTTCCGAAGCATAACTCAGAATTAGTTTACAACTTTTAATCTTAATTGTAATTTCATACCACACATGGAAAGTATCATCTGAGGGTTGGCTTGAGAGACATTGTTTCCATAGCTGGGATGGAGATGACCCAATCCTCTTGTTTTTATTGTATTTTTTACTTATTTTATATATATATATATATATATATATATATATATATATATATATATATATATATATATATATATATATATATATATAAATTAATAATAATGTGAAAATCCTCTCACAAATAATCAGAAAAAAAATATTAAAAATGTTGAGTCTACCCTCAAGTCCACTCTGTGCTTTGTTATTAATAAAGTACCGAGTGGACTTGAGGGTAGACTCAACATTTAAAAAAAAAGTTCCGATTATTTGTGAGAGGATTTCCCATTATTAGTTATTTGTATGTGTTTTGTGTGTGTATGTGTGTGTCTATACACATACAGTACACCTACTGTATATACAATGCAGGTAAAGGAAATTACCGTCTCTAGAATGAATGGCTCCTGTCCCGGCCGCAAAAATGCCAGCAACTTTAAAACTACCCTAGACATTCTTTGGTACATCCAGGGTGTCATCCGCAAATTATCTGGATGTACTGTACTGTAATTAATATAAACTTATTTTATATTTACTTACAGGTACAGTACTTTGAATTTATATTTATTTATTAATATATTGTTATTATTATTATTATTATTATTATTATTAATATTTTCAGATCCCACTGTACGTGATAATTCTTGTGAAGCTCTGGGTGTGGCTTTGAGAGTGGTGGGGGAGAAACAGATGATGGTATCCATTGCTGATGTGGACAACTTAAAAATGCAAAAGGTAAAAATTTTCATATTTGTATATATAGATATTGGTTGGAAAAAGACATTTGAAAGTAATTTTTTTATATATTGTAGTGGTGTTTATTGTAAAAAAAAATATATATATATCTGGAAAGGCCACGTCTAAGGTATACAGCTGGGCTATGTCTTGACCTTGCTAATACAGTTATATAACTCCTGCTATTTTTTAGTCTTTTTCACAGCATCCGTATTAGACCAGACAGACCTCCACCAAAGGCTTTCATTAATCTTGCAATATACTCTGCAAACTGTGTTCCTCTCACTACATATACAGTATATCTATTACACTTCTCTCCACTCAGAGTTCCTTTTGTTTGTATTCATAGTACAGATATTTTATGTACAGTACAATATATTTTTGTGTTGAAGTATGTGTTTAACACAAAAAGAGTCTTTGATGCATACAATTCATGTACTATATCTGATTTATTCTTAATATCTTTAAGGATTCTAAGCCTGCCAGTCACTCCTCTACTGTCACTTATCCATCCATGCACGAGGAACCTATTCTACTAGCCAAATCCCCGGACCAAATTACTGTATATTGCAAAACTGAAATTTGTCTTTTCATTTACTCTTTCAAGTCATTTCCTGCTATAATGCATGCTGGCTGGATTCAAGTAAAGCTAGACTGTTTCTTCATCCATTGTCAATAATTCACTCGTACAGTCAAACTGTTGTAACGGATATCATGCTGTGGTAACGGTAATATCTCCGTTAGTCAGAATCCCTCAAACCCGGAACTCTCTGATAGCTGGAATTGAAATTTTCTCGGAAAATCGTTCCCAAAGTTGGAATTTTCCAGAAAATTCTGGCTTTGGAAATGATATTCTGATGGACACATTTCCCTGGAAAATTCCAAGAAGATTTTCTCAGTACCTGGAAAATTCCAAGAAAATCCGTGAATGGAGGAGTTTTTTTTTCCGGGCTTAAGAGATGAAAATCAGGCGCATTTTCCAGAAATTCCAAGGAACATTTACCGGTACTCAGAAAATTTCGGGGATGTTGGTTTTATTTTCCTGGCTGTGAGAGTCTTCTCGTTACCCGGAAATTTCTCAATCCCGGAAGTGTTTTGCACCAACTGTTCCGGCTAACGAAGATATCACTGTATTTCTTTAACACAATGATGCCCCAAGCTTCCACCTGGTTTTCCTGTCACTTAATATCACCTATCAGCAGGATGTCCATTCCCAAATATATGTCAACACTGCTTTCCAGTTATTCATGTACAGTACTGTACATTGCTGCTTCCTGGCTGACCTCTCGCATCAAGTGCATGATGCACCCCAGCTCTATATCCTTGGTCTTTCCCTCCCTTTTGTCATGCACCTCTGAATTATACATCCTTTTTACCAATATTTTACTTACCATTCTCTTATTATGTCCTTAGCACCAGAGCAAACTTTGGTCCACTTTCTATACAACACTTCTTTGACATACACATCTCATTTCTGGATTTTATATTCTCTGCATCTTATTCATCCACACACATTGTTTCACATACAGTATATTAAGATGTAATAGATGAATACTTTCTTATTCACAGATCCGAGAAGCGTCAGAAAAGGCAGAGATAAAGGTAAAGATTTCAGCCCCCAAAGCCAAAAAGGCAGCTCCTAGCAAGAGGGAAGCACATGTTGCAGAGGCTGCAGCTTCTGGCCCACGGAAGGTAGTCAGGGGAGGAGGTCGGCGGGCACCATCATCCGAGTCTGCTAAAGGAAAGAAAGGTAAGAAATAATTTAAACATTTTCCGTATTAATATACAGTACTGTACAGTGATCCCGTGTTTTTCGCGGGAATTACGTTCCTGAAACCCCCGCGAAAAGCCAAAACCGCGAATACTCTTTTGGGAATCACTTGAAGACGTGTATTCCGACAAAAGACACAAATGAATTTTTAGTCTTCACTTTACGCGTTTCCACGTTTACGCGGTACCCTGCCGAAACCGGAATGCTCACTTTCCGCGGTGTGTGTACCCTTTTACGCGGAGAGCAGCGCGAGCAGGGTGTGCACAAGGTCGCCCAGTCATCAAATCATTACCGAGTTCTTCACCCGCCACCCACCACAGCCGGCCCAAGTCAGTGATAATGATAGTGAGGATGTGGACTTATATGGACTTTGAGGGGTTTGACAAAGAGGCCCTGCAAGCCTCTGTGGTGGATAGTGGTACAATTGATACAGGTGAGGGCCAATAATCTGCCCTCTGCCTCGGAACCAACCCCCCATCCCCGTGTGCCCAGCCATCTTTTCTACTAATGTAAGTGTTAAAAAACCTAATATTATTGATATTTCTCTTAATTATTAATTGTGTGTGCATACCATCATAAAATTAAGAAGTTATTTTTACTACAACGTAGGTATTGTGTCTGAAAAAGTGGAGTTTGGGTGTCGGCCCGGTCTCTATTTCAATTAATCCCATATGTTATGTTGTTCACTTTACGCGTTTCTCACTTTACGCGGGCCGCCGTGGGTTGAATTAACTGCGTAAAGTGAGGGTTCACTGTATATATATATATATATTTTTTTGTGTGTGTAAAAAAATGCGAATGGTCAAAATTGTGATGAAAAAAAACACGAAAAACACTGGATTACTGTACAGTAGTCTTGTATGGTTGACAGGATATTTGCATTGGGTGTACAGTGTGTGTGTTTTATGGTTTTCTTGGGAGCCGTGTAGAAGTGGAGCACCACTGCAGATCACATCTGGTAATACAGTTAGAGAGAACTATTAGAGAATTTGGAGAATTTTGCTCTTGATTGCTGCTATTATGTGTTGTAGCAAATGTGGTTAACAAGAGTGAAAATTTAGTAAATCCTCTTAATAGCAGATCTTGTAAGTAGTGTACAGGACTGTTGTCAGTTAGTCTGATTTGTGTCTGGAAATCTGCTGTCTACAAATGGGAGCCATCGTAGATAAAATCTTTATCTGAGAGATCTTTTCTACTAACAAAATTCAATGTCATGCATCTAGCACCCATCTGAACATGGGACTGAGCAACCATCCATGTAGGAAGGAAGCCTTGTAATTGGTGCCTCCTACTTGAATTCCCTGTGCTACTCCATGCTAACAGGTGTTTTTGTGAGATGGAAATTTTGATGTAGAGAAAAAAATTTTCATGTGGAAATATTGTGCGTATTTACTGATATTTGCAAAAATACTAGTGTGAGCCAGCATAGAATCTATGATGTTGTGAGGTGTTGTGCTTGCACCAAGAATAGTGCCACAATAAAGATGGTTTTCTGGGGAAGTTAAAATGGCTAAAACTCTAATTGAGAAAAAATTATAATTGGCCACAGTTCATGATGACCACAACATACAATAATGTAATTTACAAATTCTTCACATTACCAATAATACAGTATTTTTTACCAGCTCTCTCTTGAATTGGAAGTAACTGAACTACTTCTTTCACAGCTACAGCAGGAAGAGGTAGTAAAGGTGGGGGAGGGGGTGGTGGAGGAGGTAGAGGCCCTCCTGTAGAAGAGTGTAAAGAAGCAGAAATCTCAATAGAAGAAGCCTTAGAGAAAGCTACAGAAGTCTTACCTGAAGATGTTGTAAATGGACTCACAGATTCTAACTGGAAGGCTCGGTTAACTGCTGTGGAATCCTTCACTGAGGTTAGCTCTTTATTCTTTCCTTTTTTTAGAAGTCGACTTGAATTTAAAATGAGGATTTTTAACCCCTAGACTGAGCTATTGGCAAAATTGCTTAGTGCTCTATATGAACAAATTTTAAAAACAAAAATATATTATTATAAAATTAAAGATATGCATACAGAAGAGTAAAAATGAAGAAAAAATGTCATACAGTACTTAAATTTGTTTAGCTGTGGTGGAGCGTTTCATTGAGCATGTGGGTCCTGAGTGAGCAGAGGGAGAGAGGGTGGCTGGAGGCCAGTATGCCACAGACAGTGACAAATGTGTGTGTATCATGATGATAAACATAACTGAGAGCCTTACTGAGGTGTGGGTAGCTTCAGGAAGTCTACTGGTACAAGTGATGCTCTTTATGAATGCTAAAATTGGCGCACAATATAAAGAAAATTAACTTCTCATATGTGGTGCAATATGTCACAGTTGTTGAAGTGGATTCATATGAGGCATGTACCAGTTTAAGGGTCAAAGTTATTAAGTTTGGTGAGTCAAAATGTTTTGTTGGTCTTTTACCACAACTAATTATAGGCTTATATATGGTAGTGACAGTGATCCGTCCGGCCTTGTTGAACCTTGAACATTTCTTCATGCTTAACACTTACAATATAAAGAATTGTCAATTTAGAGAAATAAAGCATGACATAGTTATTTTGGATGTACAGTACAGCACAGTAATGGGTAGTTTATTTAATATATTAAGGATCACATGATGATAGTCCCCAGCTTACTACACCTTCACTTGCAAAATTTTTTTTGTATTTGTTAGAAAGTTTCAGCAGTGATTAAAGTTTGAACTTTTGCACTAACAAGTAGTTATTTTAGTATTTAAATAATTTTGTTTTCTATTCACTGTTGCAGACAGTAAGGATGATGGATTGCAGTGAAATTCCCACCCAGGCATTAGTGAGAGTCCTTGCTCAGAAGCCAGGTTTTAAAGACAACAATTTCCAAGTCCTCAAACTAAGGCTTGAGGCACTCAAACATCTTGCTGAAAATTCTGATTTTACGAGGTACTGTAATGTTACTGGCTGTTGTTGTCCTCTACCACTCTACCCAATTATCTGTCTCCTTTCTTTGATCATCTGTACACAAAAGTGGAAAGTACATGAAGATATTAGAGAACTATTTTTCATTGCTCTAGTGCAATATATACAGTATTTTGAGAAGTTTTTGACTACACAGTGGTGAAAGTTGCAGGAATTTATGGACTACACAACTGGGTTTATAAAAAGTTCGTTTGTATGGAGTTTGGACGATATATGAATTTGGAGGGTGCTGATAAGGGATTAAGAAAATTTTGCAATAGACAGGAAAGAAGTGAATGGTTTGGCGCATGTGTGGAATGAAATAAAATATATGAAAGCAATTCAAAGAGTGTATCAGATGGCTTCAATGATGAGAAGTAACTGAGCTTTCTGGTAAGGAATATGGATGAGGATATGAATTCATAAAAAGTCATGCCTGTTTGTTGGGTTGGCCAAAAACTTTGCGAAGATGTATTTGACATTTGTATGCGTTTCATGATTTTAATAATTCGTTTTTATTTTGGTTTGTACAGACGGTCAGGAGAAGTATGCATACAAGATCTTGTAGAAAAGCTGGGAGATCCCAAGAATGGACCATTATGTGGAGAGGTCCTTCTTGCCATGGCTGAGGCGGCCAAGCTACAGTGGGTCGGCCCAGAAGTCATGACCCGAGCATTTGAACAAAAGAGTCCCAAAGTTCAAGAAGTTGCACTCAAGTGGCTTTCAGATGCTATCACAGAGTTTGGTTTTGTGTAAGTTATATTTAATTTTATTTTATTATATTTTTTTTTTTACAGTATAGAACCAGCTATTTCTCTTGACCATATTTACTGTTGCTGTATACCCCCCCCCCCTCTCTCTCTCTCTCATTAGATTTGTTTGAAATTTAAATAATTTATATGTACAGGGCTATTAACCCATTTCAAGTTCATTAAAAAATAAAACTGTTACAGTACATGGATTTAGATAAATATGTACTGTATTTCTCTCCTAGTCTTAAATCTTATGAATAATTAGAAACAAAATAATACAGCTGTAATAAGATTTTGATATATTTACGCATTTGAAGATCCCATACAGTGAATCAATACATAGCAACATTTGGCTCAAGATAAGGGAGCAAATACTGAGAGATTGTACATCTTATTTATTCTTTTATTCTTTTGTTTTATATATATATATATATATATATATATATATATATATATATATATATATATATATATATATATATATATATATATATATATATATATATATATATATATATATATATATATGTGTGTGTGTGTGTATATATATATATATATATATATATATATATATATATATATATATATATATATATATATATATATATATATATATATATATACACACACACACACACACACACACACACATTGGTCCCTCCATTAACGAACACAATTCGTTCCACAGAGTCATTCGTCAACCGAATCCATTGTTTCAATGGGATATTGGGTAACTGGTTCCAGCTCACAGAAAAGTACATACAAAGTAAAAAAAATAATGTAGTAAAGTACACTTACTTTGAGGTGTGTAGGTAGAAGGTTTCTGGTTGATGATGATGATGGGAATTAGAAGTGGGGATGGAGGAGAAATCACCTTTCAGGGGACCCATGCTTGATGCAGTAATTTCACCAATAAAATTTCACTAGGTATAAATCAACACTGCACTGCTCTATATTATCAATATGTTAACTAAATTTCAGAATGACCAATAATTTTAATGTAAAAATGAAAAAATATTCAAGAGACCAACAAAATCGATGTTCACTCCACTGTCAACAAAGCCAAACTGACGCCTGGTGGCTGAGTCAAGCGGCTGATGGGTGCAAAAAAAACTAGTTCCCTGTACTGCATATATTATCAATATGTAAACAAAATTTTAAAATTACTTAATAATTTTAATATAAAAATGCAAAAATATTAAAGAGCACAACTTTCTTGATATTTACTCCGCTGGAAACTAATGTAAACATACTTAGAACAGATTACTGAATTGGCAGACACGCCCATCAGCTGATCAGCTGATGTTCACAACAAAACGTGTTTTTGTAAGGATTTCGTTATTCGAAGTTTTGTTCGTTCACCGAATTGAAGATCATTATGGGAGCTAATTCGTCAATCGAACCGTTCGTTAACCGAGGGACCCATATATATATATATACACATGCACTCGTTCACTCCTCATGTACCGCGTAAGAGAGAAGTCTTTCCAGCTTTGGCTGATGAATATCGAAACCTGGCAGATTATACTGAAAGCATAACCGTGACTACATCTTGGTCAGTTGGTATGCCTGACTAGCCACATGCTTTGAGTTGTTCAACAATTGATGGTTCAAAAAAGTGGAATAGTTGTGGAATACAGACACATATAGTGTACCCAATAATGAATGATCATAGAAAGTAAGTACAGTATGTAAATCAGTGGTGTAATTGGCTACCCCTTTCCAAGGTTCCACAGGCTGTGCCAGCTGTTTACGGGTCACACAGATGCATGTGTCGGAAGATACTGTTATTTGTTTTCTTAGACTGTACATTGTTTACATGCTGACATTATTAGAATGTGTGTTGTACTTTCCGCAACACTCAACTAGAAGCATAAGTTGACAGACTACTTCTAACTATCTAAAACTATACAAACTGCCTCCCACCTTCCATTAGGCTCCTGAACTTAAGTCTGAGTTTCTAGTTAGTTATTTGATATATTTAAATTGTTCAAAGCATCTAGTTATTGGGTCAGTTTGAATCAACTGTGAGGACATACACAGGATGATTCAAACAAGTTCAGCTCACTACAGTACTAAGGATTCTAAAGTGCAGTACTATGTTTGTTTATTTAATAAAGCTACATTTAACTTCTTATGTATATGCCTATCATAATTTTTTCATTTAGACATACTAAAATAAAACTTATTTATCCTCAGTTTACAGCCAAAGGCTCTCATCAGTGACATTAAAAAGGCTCTAGGACATACTAACCCAGGTGTACGGACGGCTGGTGTCAGTCTTTGTGGCACAATCTACCTGTACATGGGTGCCACTCTCCGAGTCTTCTTTGAAGATGAAAAAGCTGCTCTCCTTCAGCAGATTGATACAGAATTTGAAAGGGTTGGTTATGATTCCTAAAACATGCTTGACCTGTTTGTTAATTATGGAATATATTTGTATACTGTGTGCAGCGTATATGTTTATTTATTATTTCTTTTCTTCGTTAGCTAAATGGCACGAGTCCCCCTGCTGCTACCCGAGGTATTAACCGAGATGGCAGTACTGACAACGATGGAGAAGATGATGACGTCGACTCAGGACAAGCAGTCATCAATGTTCAAGACTTAGTGCCACGAACTAACGTCAGTGAACAACTCACCTCCACTCTTTTCAGTGACTTGGCTGATAAGAACTGGAAGGTAGGAATTTATTACACCACTCTTTTAAGAAGGAATGTGATGGGTGAGTGGAGTGGATGTGGTGCTTCCCACTTGTTCTTAAGACTTGCTGGTTTGTACTCGGGTCACCCCAAGTTTACCTTGTTGTGGATGGGTACCAAATTTGCAGTAAAAGATGTGAAGGTGGTTGGGTGCAGCGCTGGTTACAGTATCTTCTTGTGTACCACAGGGCTAGTACTTAATGTTCTGTATCCACACTGGCCTGTTAGACCTATTGGGCTCACTTTCACTCTTATTTAATAGAGACAGTGAGCTTTGGTTTGTCAACACCACTTTCCTGTATTTACTTTACAGACCCCCAAAAAAGAGAGCAGTAAATAAGATTGAGGTGTTTGTTTAGTTCTGTTTAATTTTCTATTCATATGTAGGAATATCTGTCAATTTCATATCCAGTATTTATGTGTCCTTTAGTATATGAAAATATTTATCCACTTTCTGTGTGAATTACAGGTAAGAAATGAGGCCCTGGTAAAAGTGTCCAATATTATATCAGAGGCCAAGTTTATCAAGGGGGATATTAGTGAACTACCTACTGTCCTCGCTGCTCGTATGAATGACATGAACAAGAACTTAGCCCTGGAGGCTCTGCGGATAACAGCATCTCTTGCTGTTGCTCTGGGCCCTCACTGTAAACCTCACACAAGAAATATTGTTCCCGGAATGCTGGCTGCCCTAGGAGATAGTAAGGTATGTATTCTTGTTTTGTCATTGCTGCTGGTACACTCTGTGTGTGTTTAGAGTTGTAATAATAATACGTATACAGTTTTATTAATAATGTTGTGTATAAAATTAATTGATATTCTTATATTTATATTTCTTTTTTCATGTTCACAGCAAAATATTCGGCAACAAGCCATGAGCACTCTCAACTCTTGGGTTGAACAGGCAGGAGTAAAGGAAACCATTGATGGGGAAGTGTTTGCTGATGCTTTAAAGTCTGGTTCACCTTTCTTGAAAGCTGAACTGTTCCTCTGGATGGCGGAGAAACTTAAAGATGGTAAATATCCATATTTGCAAGTGACTGGAAAGAAAGAAGATAATCTTTATCATTGTCTGTTAAAGCAGTTGCCAGAATGAATGGCAGCATGATAGGGAGTCTGTATTGCTTTTGATTCAGGGCATCTAGTACTGTAGTAGGTTAGTGGTTTATAAGAGTTAAACATAAAAGAGTGTTACTTCTCAGTTTGGTTTATAGTACTTTGTCTATTCAGTTTTACTGCAGTTATGTACTTTGTAAAGATATGAATTTTGATAGAAATTCTTTGAATGAACTGTGCTCTGTAACAGAAAGTATGAATTTTTTTGTTACTGTATTATAATCATTGACACCATTGACTGATGGGGTTAAGAGTTCCTTGGATACAGAGTAATATTGAATTGTTTAAAATTACGATGTAAAAAAAAAGAATGATACCAGTACTTCAGTTTTAATTGCGGATCACGGTTAGCTAAGCATTCCTCCCTAAAAATGATAAACTGTAATGCAGTGGAGTTCCCAATAAACATAATTTAACAATGGCACGTGTCTTGTGAATTGTAATGTATTTGTATTTTTTATTTCAGCTCCAACGAAAGGTATAAACAAAGAGGAATTACATGCCTGTACCCAATATTTGTTCATGGCATTGGAAGATCGTAATGCTGATGTAAGAAAAGGAGCCAATGAAGCTGTTATGCCATTCATGATCCACCTGGGTTATGAAGGCATGCTCAAACACACCAGCAGAGTAAAGGTATGCTCTTAATTCTCCCCAGATTCTAATTATAAATTATTCTAAAGAACATGTGAAGACCAATTGAGAATTTTAGTTCCCATTTCTCTTTGGAAATGAGTAGTGCCTAATCACTTGTGAGTGCAGTATAAACTCTGCTTTAGGAAATGTAGCTTTTTATTTGTTAACCAAGAATTTCCACTCCCATTTATTTACCCCTTTAGATTCAAAACAGTTTGTATTTCCTAGAAGAATTGCTTCAGTGAAATATAATTAAATTTTATCATCACTTGAAATATTAGTTCAGTGTACATTCTTCTATTTATTTTATTTTCAGCCCTCTTCAAAGAACACAGTGATGCAAGCTTTGGAAAAGGCTAAGCCCAATCTACCAGCAAAGCCTCAGCCTAAGCAAAAGGTCAGCACAAGTGGAGGTGGTCCTCCCACGCGTGGAGGAGCACAGGGTGGAGGGGGAGCTTGTAGTGGAGGAAAAGGTACTCCAACTGGCAAGAAGACCCTTAGGGCACCCTCAGCCACAAGAATGGTAATATGATTATCTGTATTTCTGCTAGTCTAGTTGTTGTAAATTTACTAATTTAGGCTGCAAGAGTTATTGTAAAATCTGAAAACTTTTAATATAATCAGATGTGGAAATAGAAAATTGAATGTTTTAAATATATTCCCATTTTAGGAACTTATTGATGTGGCAAAATTGAGGAAAAATACTCTGCCATTATGGACTTTTCTTCTAAAGGTTTCCTTGCTTTCAGGGCTCTGCTGCTGGACGTAAGGATTCAGAGGATGTGGACACCTCCCCGCTCCTTCAAGTTAACAATCTCAAACAGCAGCGAGCATCAGACGAGCAGCGCCTCCGTGTTTTACGTTGGGACTTTTCAACCCCTCGGGCAGAGTTCATAACACAGTTGAAAGACCAGATGACCACTGCGGGGATGAACCGGCAGTTGGTCTCAAACATGTTTCATCAGGATTTCAAGTTTCACATCAAAGCTATTGATGCTTTAAATGAGGTGAATTCTTTATGCAGTAACAGCGTTTACAAGGCACGAGGAAAATAATGGATAGAGATGCTGAAAAAATATGGTCATTTTCTATTAATGTTATTGGGAAAACTCTTAAATCTTTACACTTCAACAGTAATAAGAGAGAAATAGAAGCTAGAAAAAAATGCTATATGAAAGAAAAATATATCACTGATTGGGTTATTTTATTCTCCCAGGATCTCACTTCAAACTTGCCAGCTTGCATCGCCAATCTGGACTTGATTTTGAAATGGTTGACGATCCGGTTCTTCGACACTAATCCATCAGTAATCATAAAAGCCATGGACTATTTGCAGCAAGTTTTTCAGTTAGTGTCAGAAGATGAATATCATTTGTTAGACACTGAAGCCAACGGTTTCCTTCCATTCCTAGTCACAAAGGTAAGAGAAAACTCATCAGGCATTTAAGACAGTATGTACTGTATAGACAAGACAAGGTGACCCTTCATTTATGTGGAGATTGTGTTCCCCAAAAGTTAGCATAAAAGAGAGCCATTTATTGCATTTATTCTATAGCACAATTTGGGATTGACATCACACACCTTTGGGCGGGGCTTTTCAGCAACCATGTGGTGTAGAGGACAAACAAGGTTCTGTTTACCTATTACCCTCGATAATAAATTCAAGTAACCACTGCTACAATTATTATCTTTCTCGTTAAAAGTCGTAGAAGAAAATACACTAAAATATAATAGGTGTCAGCATATGAACTACATATTTATAGTGAGGTGCTTGATCTCTGTTCCAATGTTGCCGCGTTGCTGCCACACAGTCTCGATTCTATTTTTAGTAACATCAACGAATGACTAACTGTGCTATATAGATGTAGTACTAAAAAATTATTGCTTTTACTGGTATTTTTCACATGCACCTTTGACTGTCTCAGCTCTCCTCAGTATTTCTGATGTTAAAGCTGTTCTTATTTACATCAGTGGCCATTAATTTATATTTTTATCCTATTCAGTTTGGTGATCCTAAGGATTCCATCAGAGGGCCAGCCAGAAATATTGCAAAGTTAATTTGTAACATCTATCCAGCAAGCAAGGTGTCACCATACATGTTGGAAGGACTTAAAGCTAAAAATGCCAGACAAAGAGCAGGTATGATCAGTAAGAACATGAGATCTCTTATGTTTACAATAGTTTCCTATTATGAATGAATTGTTTGTATTTAAATGATGTGAGTGTGGAAAAGAATTTTTAACCTAAATATTTATATAACTATACTGTACTTAAGAAGAGATTGAGCAAGATTTGTTTAATTGATTATTTAAATGTAGATAAAGAGAATTAGAAAGTACAGTATGTGAAGGATTTAAGAGAGATAAGTGGAATGATGACAGGCTCAGACCACCACCTGGTGTTGGCACAACTGAAAATGAGAATAAGGTGAACCTAAATGAAAATGATGATGAAGGTAGAGTGGGAATTGCATGTGGCAGTAGAGATATAACAAGGGTATGGTGCATCCATAAACATGAGGAAGAAAGTTGATTTAGTGGTAACAGAAAATTGTATTCTAAAGCAGTTAAATGAGGTGAGGGAAAGCATTAGTGGTGACCATGCTGCCTCTTTGTGTTGCAAAGGCTTAGTATACAATGTGCTGTACCCTCACTGCCCCAACAGGCCAGCAACCCTATGGGACCCACTTTCTCTTTCACATACCCGGTAGGTTTTATATCTATACAAAGCTATTGAATGTGACTTGGTATCTTAACAACATCTTTTTGCTATTATTACACTTCAAAGTAAACATAGAACCAAACATTAATTATCCAAATTAAATTATCACTTCTTTGTTTCCAGAATGCTTGGAAGCAATAGGTAACTTGATAGAGGTGTATGGGATGCCTGTGTGTCAGCCATCTCCAGGTGTAGCGCTCAAGGAAATCGCAAAACAGATTGCTGATCGAGACAACTCAGTCAGAAATGCTGCACTCAATGGCCTAGTCCAAGTGTATTTCCGAGAGGGAGAGAAGGTCTTCAAACTCGTCGGAAATGTAAGATTCACTTATTTTATGAGTTTGCTTATTTTGTACTTTAAGAAAAGGTATTTTAATTATGTATGGTTAAGAAATGATTGGTTTTGAATGTGGATGGGAGTAGAGAGAAAGGAGGTTGGCTAAGAATGACATGGGGAGAGGTTGTGAGAAATATCTTGGGTATAAGCACCTGACTAGAGAGGTTGCAAGAGATCTTGCAGCTTGGAGAGCTGCCATTGGGTACCGTAATCATGGCTAATCCATACAAGCATGGAAAAGAGCTGTAAAATGTTAAGGATGAGTTGTAATGACTTTTTACTTATTTTCTTATTATTTTTTTCCTTATTTTCAGTTATCAGACAAAGATATGAGCCTACTGGAAGAACGCATCAAGAGAGCAGCAAAGAATCGACCTGTCATAAAGAAGCCACCAGTGGAACCTGAAGTGCCAACTGTGCGAGGGGGTGGTGCAGCCAGTGGACGACTGAACCGGGTCATACCAACACCTGCACAGCCAGCACCAGCTATTGTTCGAGACAGAGAGAGTAGTGCTGGTGGGGACCAAAGTAGCCTTATCAAGAGGTAGGCTTTTTAATCTTGACCTTATAAGTTTTTGTACTAGATGGTAGCTGGAGACAAAGGGGGCAGCAAATATATGCTAGTGCTGAAATGACTCACTTTTGGTACCGGTAGTCAACTATTCATGCATGAATCAGATGTTATTTAATTAATTGCAATATTTAATACATATGCCAAATGCACTGAGTAGCTTTCTTGTCAATACTCATACAACCTTGTTCACTTGCTGTACAGATAGGCCATTGAAGCAACTAGGAATCGGTTCTTGTCTTCTTTGTCATTGTAGTACTGTAGTACTATACTACTGAGGTGAAGAAATTAGTTGTTGTTGATGTGGTTAATCATTAATATTAAAATCATTGTACAAGATTATTTCTAAGTGCTGCCACTCTTCAGGTTTGAAATTATGTTGGCCAGTTGCATAGTTGTGCTCGGTAGTAGAAAACTTGATTCTGTGTATAATTTGAATCATCTATACATGTGTTTTGAAATACTGGACAGTTATGTTTCAAGGTATTGCATGATTGTTGATGTCCAGTACTGATTCCATTTACTGTACAGTGTTGATTGGTTATGTCATTTCTCTTTACCTTTCCTCTTTTATTTCTTATGTGTTTTATTTTTTATTTTCCAGTTACTGTAGTGGCATTTTTCAGTTAATTATTGATATTTAGTAAGGCAAAGACATGTGAATCATATTCTCAAGTAGTATTTATATTTCTGAATTTTGTTGACACAGATTTTTCTCTTATTTACTTGTTACCCATGAAATGATGACACTTAAAGAAGAATGCATAGAAACCCCAGTTGGAGCTCTGAATCTATGGACAAGAGCCAAGAAGATTTGAGGTTGTCCCCTCCTGTGTGGCGCAGACCTCCACAGCATAATTCCACAGCTGCTGTCTCTAGTAGCATTAGCAGCCTGAGTAGCATGAGCAATATTAGTAGTCTGGGAAGCTTAAACAGTTTTGACAATACAAGCTCAAACAGAGGACAGCTAAAGGGAGATTGGCCTTTACCTCCTTTACATAGGAGGCCTCACACTTCAGCCACTTTAGAACAAGCGCGTCGCATATCCCGCTCTCTTTCTTTTCTCTTGGGAGAGCCAGACTTGGAACCTCTGGCTGAAGAGCCTCCTTCACCTCATAATGGGCCTTGTCATACACTGCCTCCTCTCTCTCCTCACATGCCTCCTCTTCTCACAAGGACCGTCACTTCGCCTCAGTTCCCTGGGCAAGCAGATTATTTGATTCTTGGTGTGGACTTCAAGCCCTTGCTTTGTGATGCTAATCAACTAATCTTTTGTCTTTAATTGTTTTGTCATATTTATGTGAGGTGTTCTTTTCGTGTGAAAAGTAGATTACTCATTATATTTTAACTATTGTACTGTACCTGGTTGTTGGCATGTCCCAAAATCTCTTCCCTTTTTGTTTCAAATGCAGTTCATTAGTTTCTCTGGCTGGTGAATGTTCTTCACTGTTAGGAAGAAAAAAAGTGTGGACCAATCATTTCCATTAAGGAACAAGAATGAAACTTTGAAAAAGGGAAGATATTGTTTGACATTTCTGTATCTTAAAAAAAAATCTGAAAAGAATTCATAAAAGCTAATATGACAGGTTTTGAAAATGTATTAGATGAATGGTAAAAATAACAAATTATTGAATTTTATTAAAAACTTTATAGTGAGTGAAGTACTGTACTGTACTGTATGTCTTGAAGTGTATCAGGAAGAGGAAAACTGTTTCCTAATAAAAGTAGGTCTATGTTAAAGATGTGTAATGTTGCCATGGTTGTACAAAATTTTTGTGGATGGTGTAGTGAGGGAGGTGAAGGAATGATTACTGAGAGGGGAACTAGTTTGGTAAATGGGGATATACTGTAAATGAGTAATAATGAAGATCTGTAAATGATGGACTAGATACAATTTTTGGAGCAGGTTTAAGTGACTACCCACACCAACTTTTAGTACTTTTGTAGCTCCTTATAATGAGTTAAATCACTTCTCATCCCAATTCTGGTCCTGAAAATTATTGGTCAGTTTACTCAGCAGTACTTGTGCCATTTTAACAGTTTGCAGCATCTGTGTGATGAGTTTGTCTGGAATGATGATAATATTTATGAATTTTCTAACAAACTTACATTAATGCTTTGTAAATTTGGCAAGTTACATTTATTTCCTTTTGTCTGTATGGTGGGTGAGAGCTCCCTCAACCCCTTCAGGATGTCAGAATAATTTCATCTTTTGTTGTAGCCAAAAGACAGTTTGGCAGTAGAAAACATTTTCATTGAAAGGAGTGGTTTATCATACAGGTATTGGATTAGGGATTTAGATTGATTTCCAGTGTTAACAAAGATGTGGTAGGTAGCTCACATTTACGGTATCATCAAATTCCCATATTTGGCCCAGTCTAAGTGAGAATATGTGATGTGCTACATAGCATTTTCATAGCTGGAGGGTTGAGTATCCAGAAATGATAATTTCTTTGTATGTTGTAAGCTGTTGAAGTATACGGTATCAACATTGATTTCAGATTCGATGATGAGTTCTGAGTTTTACTTTATGAAATCTAACTGACTATTATTATTATTATTATTATTATTATTAGTGTATTTGTCTCTCATACCCAAGGTAAACAATTATTAATCTCTACCATGAATTCAAATCTGTCCCCACGATAGTCAAAATCATAAGTTTATTCTCTCCAGGTTGCGAAATCAACACCAGTCTACTAATCCTGCCACTCCATTCAAGATTGATTATGGACTTATTGAAAAACTCCTGGAGAACGATAACACAGATAGACCACAGTACAACATCGAAGAAATTCCAGACATGGCTTCCATACTCAACTACAAGCCTGTATGTCCCACTCCTGCCTCTAAGTAAGTGTGAAACAAGCAATTTCTTCTTTACATGCTCTCCTGAATGTAAGGGTAGCTCAAACTAGCAATAAATATAACATGATATTCAGTGTAAAAGATGAGTTTTGTAGTTCTTTAACCTTTGCATACAATTGACAGCCTCCTCCTTCATTTAGACTTACCAGGCCCGGGTTCAGCTCAGTTCCTCGACCTTTATCCTCGGCCTCACCCATAGAGTCTGAGGGTGCAGCTCATGCTATCAACATGGTCATATCTCAGGTCAGTACTCAGTTGCTTGTTAATAGGTAAGCTTGTTTGATAATCGAAATTTATATTTCAAGGATGTGGGTTAATATTTAACTACAGTACTACATTTGCTATACCTGCATTACAAATGGAATACAGTCCAGTACATTATCAGTTTCCTTGTTAACCTATGATGTCCTGAATTTTCATTAGAAAGGGTTGTGATATCAAATAGTATGAGAGAATTGTAGGGAGTTTGTTGGGCTTTGTATTGTAATTTGTATTTATATTTTTGTTTATTTCAACAGGTAGGCACTCCAGATGCCAATACAGTTATAACAGCCTTGTCGCAACTGGATGAGGTATTGCAGTCAGAGGAGCGGTGTTATGAGTTAGCGCCCCACATAGACCAGCTGCTGATTGTGGCTACACTACAGTATCGTCTAGTCCTTAATACAAAAATGGCCAACCCTAATGTTAATAAAGAAGAGTGCATTAAGATCTACCGATCACTCACCAACTGTTTAATGATGGTAAGTAGTGTCATCATGGAAGAACAACTCAGAATGATGATTATTTTCTGGGGTACAAGGGAAGCCCATATCATTCATATACATACAGTACCTTTAATATCTTTTCCTGTGGTGACTAATAAATTTTTTTATGGGGAGAATGTATTATGTAATGCCATTTTTGTTTGTTCTTTTGGTATTCTTTCATTGTTTAATTCCCTATTACACAGCTTCCTGATTTCTTTGAGACACTGAGATCAATTCCTTCCATCTTACATTTGACATTCTTTTGCACTCTTCCAACAATCTCATTACTTAACATGTAATCCTCCTGTGTTTCTTGCTATTTTCATCACATAATATTGTACCCAAAGTTTTTGATAATATAATAGTTTTATTAGATATTGGGCAAATTTCATGGGGCACACAGTGGGAAAATCACATACAGTACAGTAACTCTGATAAGTTAACAGATTGTATCGTTTTTCACAGATCTTCAATAACAAACAGCTTGGAACAAAAGCAACTAGAGACGTTCTCCGAGATGTCGTACACGTTCTCATTCACATTCTGTTGGACCCTCGCCTCACCCAGCTGGAGGACGGACCACAGATCATCCGTGCCATTAATGTACTTGTTGTTCGTATTGTTGAGAAGGCACAGTTCACTCATGTTTTTAGGTGAGTTGGTAGTCAAACATTTTGCTTCAAGCCATTTTCTGTATGCATAACATGAAAGAATAATTTAATCAACAGATTTTGCAGTGGTTTTATCAATAAAATAGGGATTAGTCGATGATATTGACGAGTGTATCCTAACATTATTATGTGTATTTATTACTTGAATATCCTCCTTATTTCTTAGCGCCCTTTTGAAGTTGCTCCATGAGAGTGTTAGTAGCGGAGGTGGGTGCAAGTTCACAGAGTTGGTGATGAAGTGCAACTGGAAGGTGATTCGCATTCTTCCCTCACGCACCAATGACCTTGACTTAGACCAGATACTCTTTGATGTTCACAACTTCCTAGTGGTAAGGAAGACAAATCTTTGATCCATTTTTGAGTAATTTAATGTTAAAGATAGTTTACTTATGGCTAATTCTACTTTGGTAGTTTGATTGCTCTATATAATTAAAGCTCAAAAGGTACTTACTAAATTAAATTCAGAATTTCGTGGTTTTCAAAATAATCACATGTTAGAAGAATCTCTGTAAATGGCCTCACAGAACCATTAGTTTCAGTGTAGAATTTTTTTTTTATTGAGCTGTAAGCTTCATCTATATACACCATTTCATATGTATATGATGTTTTCAGGCTTACCCAGTCAACACGTGGTCTGAGCGGCCATCAGACACACCACTGCGCACAATTAAAACAGTCATCCACACCCTCTGTAAAGTATATGGCACAACCATCCTCAGTCACTTCTCCAAAATTGATAATGCTCATGGTTCTGAACTTCACAAGTACCTTACTAAAGCACTCAAGGTAAGTCCCAAGATTATTATTATAAAGCAAGACAAAGGGTGATAGTTGTAATATTTTCTGTCAAATGTGATTTTTATCGTCTCAAAAAGGTTATCACTGACATAGCCAAAATATTTATAATTATTCTAAAAGAACATTATTTGTGATGTAAATATATGATAAAAATCACCCCAAAAGAACAAATTCCAGCTGAAGTATTGATTCAAATTCAAATCATATGTTATTCAGAAGGAACAGAACAGGTACGGTGATTTCCATGAGGAAGCAGGCTCATAATACCATGAGTGAGTTTGCATAAGTAAGAGTTGTAATGGAAAAACAAATAACATTCCTCCTTCACTCTTCGTAAGTGATGCCTATGTCTAGTAAGCATTTTCCTCACATACAGTAGGATGCATCAGTGAGATTTTCTCTACACACACACACCAGTATGTAACTGCAAACTGTATCTTGCCACGTTTATCCATGCTGTCTTTCTAAAGGAGCTTTTCTCTCTTATTTTCATTAGGTATAGTTATAGCACCTAAATTTTTCTTATTTGCATGCTAGGATTAGCAGATTGTTTTGCCTCATTCACTCTTGGAGCAAACAACCATATAAAATGGTTTTGCTTAGTCAAGAGAGCACATTCACCCTTCAAAACACTAATCATGATCATTCTTTGGATATATCACAGTGCAGTCTGAAAAATAGTTTGTATGTATGTATGGATGTATATATACTGTATATATACCAGTAGAACCTCACTATATTGGACACTCAATATATCAGAAATCTGCTTTATGAGACGTCGATCACCCACTGGACTGTGACACGGTATACTGTACTGAAAATTGTGAGAAAACTGTACCTTTTCACCACTGTGCTGTACCGTGCGATCCTCTGATGGGTTGTTGCTGATTAGGCATGAACTCTATATCTAACTGGACCCACGTGACCCACACTACACTGTTGTTTATATTATCATGATTCATATTGTGACTTTGTGTAGTTTGCTGTTGCAACAATATCATAATGGCCAACAGATACCCGAGTGACTTACCGTCAAAAGATAAAATTTAATTCACTATAATGTAATGAGATTCTACTGCTGGATTTGTATTTCAAGCACTTTAATTTGGGGGTTCAACAGTTTTTGTCAGGCAGTATTGCTTGGTGCTAGTTTCAAGCTCTTTGTTATCCTAATTACAATTATCCTAAATCATATTATATTTGCCTCAAAAAGTCTTTACCAACCAATAATGGAAGACAAGAAAGCCTGTGTATTAAATTTGAACAATGACAGCACTTCAACTCATACCCGTCCCCACGAGTGGAAGTGATCAGCTGGATGTGAACAAGTCCAGTCCATTTTGTTTGCTCAAAAGTTTTCAGCTTAATTACATAAAAGTGTTTCCCCAAAATAATGGAGTTATAATACTGCAGTGCCTTTCAAAAGAGAGATAAAAGGAGAGTGGTGGCAGCTGATAAGTTAGGGACTACTTTGTGGTTGTTGCCAGGGTCACGAATCTTAATTATTAAACTTATTTGTAGTGATATGTATTACCAGGATGAGAAGTTGCTGTCCCAAGGTGTTTTTAATTCCGTAGCTTCCTGTATACAGTACAGTATAAAGTTTAATGTACTGTATTTTTTACTACATTAGTGTGGTAACAGTAGCCAAAATTAAAGGTAGCTTGGGTCAGCATATATATCCAGTGAAGGTCCACCATTGGTTGGCTATGGGCTATAATCTGATATTTTGGGGTGTGTCCTATATGTCCTGTAGAAGGTCCAGTATCAGGTTTATCGGAAAATTGGTTATGGGACTGGCCTTCTCTGATTAGGCTGATGTAGCGAGGTTCCACATGTATATACTGTATACGGCACTGGTGTATAATATCACTTATTAAACCTAATCTAACCTGGTGAGAGTGGCATTTTTCAAGTTACTTTGACATCATTTAATTGTCTATGGTTCAGAAAGTATCTGTCTGCTTTATGTAGTTATGTGTATGATAAAATAACTTGTGAAATTTGCTTGCAGTTATTTATGTTAATCTAAATATTGGAATTCCTTTATAAGTTTTAATCAATGCAATTGTATATTCAAGTCAGTCACAGTTTTGTGCTAGGTATGGATTGGCCAGGGATTTTTTTTCTTGCATCACCCTAGTTTTATAGGGTGACAAGGTTTTTATAATGGGAGGAATAAATTAAGGGAATATGTTGAATGTAGTTTGATACTGGGAGAAGGTGCAGCTGTTTGGATTAATCTAGTGAGGTGGATATTATTTAATGCTTGCCACCCTCTGTAAGCTGGAAGGTATATTAGACTACTAGTGATAGTTTATGACATGATTGATGAATTAAATTTTTTCTTTCATAACCACATTGCATGCTGTTCCCTTATATAGGAAGACGTAAGTAGAATATTCAAACATTTTGATTTCTCTCCATACCTCCTCCCCTTCGTCTCTCAGTGTAGCAATATATTTTTTATCTAATTTCTGGTGGTAGTCCTGACTAATGCCTTGTTCTCAAACTTTGCGAGTGTGTCCAAAAATATGGTGGTTACCGTGCCTATTAAGCTCGCAAAGATATTAACACAAGAAAAACTGAATAATTACTGGAACTCTAACTCCAACCATTCATGTAGGTTCTCACCCACAACTCTTCAGTGCTGTTGGTGTTTTCAGGCAAATAATGAGGATGGTGATTAGCTACAATATCACTAACACAGTCTAGTTGGTTAGCCACCAACATTGTCCTGCTTTTTGATATTTCCCAGTGAGAAATCTTCCACGCAGTCAGTTACCTTGTTATTAATGCTGTTTCATTGTGCAAGTTGTTAATTCAGTAAATCTCACCTAATCTGTGACCCATTGGATTTTGGTACATCATTTGCATATTCTCTGCAAATCCCTATGCCTTCCACGGTATGAGATACTTAAAAAACCATATACTGTAACTTTGTAATGTAGAAAAGGGTATTTTTTAAGGGCATATTTTAATATTAATTATGAGAAAAGTGTTCAGGCTTTAATTATACTTTGTATATTACATGGTACTGTATATGTGTAAAATATTATTAAATAAGTGAGTGGACCATGAATGTAACTGAACTCGTTCACTCTCTCTCTCTTTTTTTTCCAAAATATCCATAGGTCTTATTTTCACTAAAATGCCTTTGATTAGTATTGACAGTGGCACAGAATTTATTCTTCCCATTTCCTCCTTATCCACACCTTGGTAATGTTTAAAATCACAAGTCTTTGTAGCAAGAGGAAAACCTCATAGTCAGTGATTACCTAAGCTAATAAGCTTTTAATTGGTGATAATTTAAGCTTTACAACCTGGAGGTATAGCTTGTCCAGTAAAGATTCATTGTGAGGGCACAAGGCATATGTCAAGATAGGACTGACTCCCTTATGGTATGGAAAAATAAATGATAAACTTCAATCCATCTTTTCTTGTTAAGTCTGCTCTGCAGTAATTTTAGTACCCAAAGTAATTATCTTCTTCAACCTATCTATACGGTACTTTTAGTGGTTTTTTCATCTGTAAATCTATAATGATCATGCATATCCAGTTAGGGAATGTAGAATCCTGCATATGTTAAGGGAATGTAGAATCCTGCATATGTTAATCACTGTAAGTACAGTACATCTTTGCCATTAATTTCCAGGTACCCAGTAGTAACACTTGAATACATTCACCAGAAAAGTTGTGCATGCTTTTTATTATATCACACAAACCTGTAATAATACCTACGTTTGGCCTGGTGTGACACGGGGTCCCGCATTGTTACTCTTACCCAATTGTTTAAGGTGCAAATGATGTATTACAGGGTTCTTTCTTATTAGTCTTGAGAAGAAAGTTAGGAAAAGCGGCTAAGGACTGGAGAATTTATGTTCATGGACAGATGTACGCATGTAGAATTGTGTGTGCATGTAACTGAGTAAAAAATGTGAAGAAAGTTAAGTTTTTCTGAAACTACAAGTTGAAAAATATTATAATAACTCTCCCCAGACCCTCTTGCTAACTCGCTGGTACATAAAGAAATATTTATTCCCTTTGTTTTTTTTTTACTATATACAGAGTACCTGTAATTATTATTTATTTATTTATTACATTCTGTATATAGGATTGTGTGTGCATGTAACTGAATGAAAAAAAATATATATGATAAAAGTTATATTTATATAGCTACCTAAAATTATGAGTTGAAAAATAACCATAACATAACTCTACCTTAGCCTGTTAGGGGGGTGTGGGTATCCCAGTTGTGCACTATTTGAATTTTTGGTGGGACCCAAATTCGTATATGTGAGGAAAGCTTTCGTAAGATGAAAAAGTAGTGTCTGTTTAGGAAATTAGTATCTCAAATGTTTGCATCTTGAGGGATACCTGTATTGCATACTAACTGGTGAGACCTCTTAGTGTACCCCCTAACTCACCTAAGTTTCTGTATTTCCATCAAGTTAAAATAATTTTACTTCTTGCAAGTAATAAATAAAAATTCACATTTTCATCACATATTTTTAATATATTTTTAAGTGCAGTCATTAAAAAAAATTTAAAGGAATTTTAATGAGAAAAGAAGTTATGAAATCAATCACCTAATTTTATTAGTGTGATGTGTAGCTTGCTTTTCAGCACAAAATTATTCAAATTGCAGAGACGTTGATGAAACAACTCACAGTTTGTGTTTATGTTCATGAACCTGCAGGCTTGTGGCCCTCATACAGTATTTCATGTATTAATTTTAATAAAACACTGAAGAATTTTTTTACATTAATTTGTGCGTGAGTACTGTACAGTACTAACAATTGGTACTGGTGGGTAGTAGCATTTTGTAAGTGTTGGGAAACTGAGATAAAGCCTTACTCCAGGTGGTTCAGGCCTGAATACTTTAATTTCTTGTAGAAATGTAACATTATTTTGATGATGATCCAATTTAGCTTCCACTCGTAAAAAAAAAAGTAAATATTCATTTTATATCTTGGCATCTGTGTCACAAAAGATATTAATAACACTACTTTTCTTGTGATTAACTGCTGCTCTGTTTAGAGAGAACTCCAGCCTTTCATAGCTTACCCCCTTTTCTTATTCCAACATCTTTTCCATGGCATCCATTTATTTGTATTAAATTCATTGATCTTTTGTCACAAGTTATAAAAGCTGTTTTGTTTCATTTTACAATTACAACTCTTCAGCTTTTTTATACCATTGAATGTACCTTTCTCTTCATCTCTCTCAGTGTTTGACATGCTTCAAGTTTATCTACAACTGCCCTTGTCAGTTGTTATATCAAACACACACTTTTGTTTAGCTTGTGCTTGATATATTGTACAAACTCATCCCAAAATTTCTCCCTGATGTTGCAAATTCTCCCATTTTCTGCCTGAATAATTTTGCTCACCCTTGCCATCACTGAACCTTTTTGTTACAATCAGAATGTCACCTCGTCTATTAATCTTTTTGCACATTCCATGCTCCTGTCATTAGCCTTTCACAATGCTTATAGGACTCTCCATATACTGTACTGTACTTCAAATTACAGTACAGTATATGATTGTCTGATAATACTCTAATCAGACCTCTTGTCACACTTATAGGACTAGTATTGGTTGTGGTAATTTCTCCCTCACTAACCTAATTTAAGTAAAAAAAACTTTCAGCATTTGTGATGAAGGATTTTAGGGTATTAAATTTGTCAGCGATGTTTTAAGGAGATGGCATATGAAGAACTGACATAAAACGATCACTTGCTGTACATGGTCAGATTTATAATACATATTTTTTATCACTTCTCAAGATGAAGGTCATTACTTGGTAAATTCACAAGTTTTCTTTGAAAAGAAAAAATAAATAAATTACAGGATTTACTGTCAAGTGTTTAGTTGTGAATATAACATATAAACAAACGTTATTGTATTTTTACTACCATGGTGGGTGTAATTGATTGGAAGATATGGATACATTCAACACTGCCTATCTCTACTACTATTTTTTATTATTTATTTATTTATTTATTTTTTACCAAACAGGGCATTGTTAAAATGGCTAACAAATTGTGACCATAAATACCTTTTTTTATATTGGAAAATTGTAAAGTTGTTAGTTCTTACTTGTTATGTGAAAATCTCTCATTCTACTACACAATATAATAAACTAATATATCTGGAATTTTCATGATACTGTATGTTAAATCAGACGGGTCAGTTAGTTTATGTATGTAACCATAGATCATTGTTAGTGTATTGTCACAAACAATGATCTTTCTAGAATTACCCTGTCAGTGTGAGATCAGAAGAACTTTCCATGAAAGCATACAACTATGGGTTGTTCTTACAGGAGGCTCTTAAAATTTCTGTATCAGAACTGTGGGTAGAATAGTGAACTTCAGAGTGTTCCTTGCCCTCAGAAACCCAAGACTGAAGATGATGGTGGTATCGGAGACAGTAACAGATTAGCTGCTGCACAAGTTTCAAATGATTCTGCAGAGAGTGGCAAATCCCCTAAGAGACTAAGCAAAACGGCTCACAACACGTTATCTGAAATCTTCCGTAAGATTGGCTCCAAGGAAAATACTAAAGAAGTAAGTGTACACCCTTTTTACTGTATTCATTTTTAAATTTTGCTCCTATACTTTCAAGTTTTTGTGTTATTAAATATCACTTAAATAATTTTAATAGGATGTATTTCAGATATTACCTATATTATTTGGTAAGCAGCATTTAATTGATAATTAATCTTGGATATGCTTATGAAATCTTTAAAATAAGTTTAATGACCCATTAAGTTTTTGCGCGCGCACACACACACACACACACACGCACCTATATATGTGGATGGGCTAAACCCCCATAAAATGCTGATGAAGATGTATTTGTTAACCAAAGGAATTGTATTGTGTTCATTTTGTTTTTCTTCATCACCTTTAACCTCATCACTATTATTCATGCCAGTTGTATAAATAAATGAAAAGGTTATAAAAGTGATTGTTGCTTCAATATTATATTAGTTGGAAAGAAAGTTTAGTTCAAATGATATGTACAATCAAAGACAAAAGTCGTGTCGCGGTTTTGACCAAAGATTAAATATAACTCGTGAAACATTATGAGAGCCCCCTACCTCAAGGCAGAGCGCACCAAAAGTTTGAGCTCTTCAGCATATGTTTTCACCAAATTTCACGACACGATTTTTGTCTTTCATTGTACAAGTGTTGAAAATTGACATGTATTTATCTTGTTTATTTTCAGGGCCTGATCCAACTGTATGAGTTCAAGCAGAAACATCCAGAAGCAGACATAGAGCCTTTCTTGAGAAAGTCATCACAATTCTTCCAGAACTACATTGAGAGAGGATTAAAAAGAGTTGAAATGGAACGACAGGCAGAAGTAAAAATGACTTCAAATCCTGCTTCAGAAAGTGGGTCAAACTCGGGTATGTTAGTCGTAGTTTCAAATACTGTACAGGAGACTTTCATTTGTTCTTTAAGATATTTAAAAATGAAGAAACTGAATTCTTAAAAGTGACCAATGAACAGTATAACTAGAATTATTTTATAAGTCACTTTATCGAGGGCCTCTCTTTCTCAGATTATTATTATTATTATTAAAAAATATTGAATAAAAGGTATGAAGACACCAGAAATTGGGTTAAACATTGAGCCTAGCCCTTGTGATGGTCACATTTTGTTACCCTTTTTCAAAATGCTTTACAATATTACAAATAATGGTAACTGAATATTGTCTCCGCAGGACCTTTGGCTTCCATCCAAGTTCCAGACACCACCAACTTCAACATGAACGACCTCGTTGATCAGTTCAAGTCCATTGCGGCCCGTGCTGGATTTGACAATACATACATTGATACTGCAGTGAAAGACATTTGCAGTACTGAAAAGGAAGCTAAAGGGGATATCTCAGAATATATCAAGGGCTTGCCATCTGAATACAATGTAGAACAAACTATGGATCGCTATGGGTCTCATGATCAGTGAGAGTTATTTTATTTGTATTTGTATTTTTTATTTTTTTCTCCACACAAAGCACACATGTTGATTTTATTTGAGGGAAAGTCTTTTGAGTAACAAATTAAGCATTGACAAATGAAGTAATTGATATTAATACTGTGGTGATTACTTATTGGTGTAAATTTATGTTTTATAGTAGTTGTACTTTTTTCCCGGGTGATAATGTGATGTGGTTTGTAGTGGTCAGATGGTGGACCTTGAAATGTGCCTCAAACTTCAACTTTCAGTATTTCCATTGTGTACTACTTAGACGGTCTTCAGATATTGATGTTTCACCAAAAATTGAAGACAATCGTCAAGGCTGCTTACTCTCATTCCATCTGTAGCACAACCAGTTTTATCAAAATTTGTAGTATACCTACACGACAAATGTCTTAACTTTCTGGATAAAGACGTTGAAGGTAAATAAGAATGGAATGAAGGTGTGGTTTTCAACCTTTGGTAAGTTAGTAATGAAAGTGCCACAGTGTATGCTAATAACATCCCATAAACACTGATCCCAGATAAATCTCTGTATGTATGTATACCGATGGCTGCTTTAGTTATTAAAGACCTGGGAACTGCCATATGTACTGCTGTCCCCTTACTTATAGACTCATAAAAACTTGTATCAATTATAATATCTTCCATATAATTCATGTCTCATTCACAGATATCTGCACAGCCTCTGTATAACTAGATTTTTTTCCTTTTTATTTATGAATGGATTACCACTAGTGAGCATGTGTAAGTGGTGTATCAAGTCAGAATTCTTCCATTTATATAAATATACGTATATATCTACAATGTCTTGATATTCACAGTTCCCAACAACTTTAGAAGATCTGTGAGCTCATAAAATTGAGTCAGAATGGTTTTTTATTTCTGGACTACTATAATAATGCTATTTTAGGTTCCTCCATCTGGTGTTTATAAGGTGTTATAATTAGTTTGCCTTGGTTCATTTGTGCATTATTTTAACAAACATTATGTAAGAAACTTTACACATCATTCCAAAATGCACATTTACTTGTGTTATACCGGGAAAGGAACTTCAGAAAATACAGCATGAGTTCTTAAGATTATTGTTCATGTAGCTGCATTTTTGCAGATTTCATCATGTTCAGATTTTCCTGAACAAGCCTTTAGCCTAACATCCTCTTCATAACCTGTAATTACAATTATTTCTTTCTTTCTCTCATGGGACATGATTAATTTTTATCTCACCCACTGTGTATGTTTACCCTTGAGGAAGCTCTTTCATTTGTAGTTTTATATTTTTGTTTAAAAAAAGAACTTATTTCACTAAGCACCTCTTGTAAATACTCAGTTTTAGTTAAATACATTAACTTATCAAAATATTGTACCTATACTAGGGTTTATTGTGCAACAGATGATTAGTCAATAAACATTAGATAAAAGTCTTTTGGTATACCTTCCCAATCTTGTCAGGTTTTTGTCTGTAAAAAGAGAAAATTATATGTATATGATCCCAACTTAGAATGTGACGGTACATACATGCTTTTGGTAAAACTTATTAGTTTTTATTACAAAAAACTTGCTCTATATAAATATCAACACCATCTCTGAAACATTTATCATTTTTAACCTAAAATATTATGAGAACTATGATAATCTTGGTAGCTTGATGCAATGGTTTTGTCAACAACCTCCCCTCAATACAGTGGTCCCTCGGTTAACGAACACAATTCATTCCACAGAGTCGTTCGTCCGAATCTTTTGTTTCAGTGGGATATTGGGTAATTGGTTCCAACTCACAGAAAAAGTACATACAAAGTACTGTACTGTTTACCAGTAATAGAATTAACAAAACATTAAATGTAAACTAAATACAGTACTGTACAGTACAGTATACTGTACAATAATAAATAAAAAACTATAGAATACTGTATTTCAACTTACTGTGTACGGTATGTTGTATTACCGGCAGCTTTGTTTACATATCAAACAGCTGATTGTCGAGGTCGATGATGACTTGCTATATTCTTTACAAGAGTGCATTGGTTCTAATGCCTTCTTCATGTTTCATAATAATTTCTGCACTGTATATTATTAATATGTTAACTAAATTTCAGAATGACCAATAATTTTAATGTAAAAATGCAAAAATATTCAAGAGACCAACAAAATCGATGTTCACTCCACTGTCAACAAAGCCAAACTGACGCCTGGTGGCTGAGTCAAGCGGCTGATGGGTGCACAAAAAACTAGTTCCCTGTACTGCATATATTATCAATATGTTAACTAAATTTCAGAATGACCAATAATTTTAATATAAAAAATGCAGAAATATTCAAGAGACCAGCTTTCTTGATATTTACTTCACTGGAAACTAATATTAACATAGAACCAATTATTGTATTGGCAGACTAGCCGATCAGCTGATGCACACAACAAAACGTGTTTGTCGTAAGGATTTCGTTAATCAAAGTTTTGTACGTTAATCGAACTGAAAATCCTTATGGGAGCTAATTCGTTAATCAAACCGCTCGTTAACCGAGGGACCACTGTACTTCTATTTAACGGCACAGTCCGTTCTGGCGATATCGTTAAATCGAGGTTCAACCTGTACTACCTGTTTTTACCTCCGTCTTGTATTTTGTTTATATATGTCCATCTACAGTCTGAGCATTGTTTTTGTTTTTCAGATTTAACTGTTGTGCTGGACTCTAGTAACAATTGAAGTGTTAGTACTTTGTCATGCACATGCAAAGAAATTAGAAGCTTGATTTCAAGTGATGTCATGTTAGAGAAGCTTCAAAGTGGCAAATAAATTGTTGACAGCCTGCAAATTATGAAGTTATGAATCAATGGGTAGCACTATTAAGAGGTAAGATGACAAAATAAGAAATTCTGTTGCAGCTACAATAACAAGAATTTAAGTACAAAGAAGACTGCTTTTAATAGAGATCTGTAATGTAAAAGGTGGAAGGTACAGTATGTTCACTGTTGAAGTGAGGACCATAATCAGAGGAGATCCCCACCAGCATGGCTATTATTCAGGAGGCACTGCAACAACTCGTCCACCTATGGATAGAGGGATCATCAACTCGGAAGCGATATTAAGCCAGCCATCATTGGTTTGAAAGTTTGCTAAAGTTATCAAGGTGGAAGGTTACTTGCGAGAGCAGGTGTTACGAGGTAGGCCTCTTCTGGGAGAGGATGCCCAATGGAATGTTTATTTCAAAGGAAAAGACGACATATTTAAAGGCATCCAAGGACCATCTTACCCTGATGCTGTGCAACAACCACCAGATACCTTAATTGAGAACCCCATCCATCAATATGAAGAAAATACCAGGGCTTTGATGGGTATTTGTTAGCAAACACCTCCTCTGGGTCTGCCCCTGTCCTCTGTCCTGCTTTTAGCCACCTACGTGATACGGGTAGTCCCCATTAGAAGTTCACGGCGCCATAAGCTCATTGAACAGGCTTTGTGTGAAATATAACAAAGTCTAGGACTGCTTTTAGTATCCTGGTGGTCCAGCAGTTAGCGTTCCCCGGTCACAGTCATAGGCTCGTGGGCCGTGAGTTTGAATCCTGGCAGGTTGAGGTGTTGAATATATATATATATATATATATATATATATATATATAATATATATAATATATATATAATATATATATATATAATATATATATATATATATATATATATATATATATATATATATATATATATATATATACATATATATATATATATATATATATATATATATATATATATATATATACATATATATATATATATATATATATATATATATATATATATATATATATATATATATATATATATATATATATATATATCCAAAATACCGTCAATATTTTTTAGAGTAAATCCCATATCGCTTTAGTAAATTTTGAAGTCCCAGAAGATGGGGCGGGAAATCCTGCTTGTGGAAGTTCACATTTAGGTGTTTACAAGAATGTGGGAGATGATGGCGGCCATAACCCAGATTTCTCTCCTCGTCCTAATATTATTTTCATCCTAGTTCCTTGTATTTACCTTTTTTAATGCCGCTTTTAAAGATCCTATTAATCTATCATCTGAAGGTCTTTTATCTCTTATTAACCTGAGTGATTGTGACTTAAAAGTGTGATTTCTAATAACAGGTGTTTCCTGAAGTATATTACGTGGTGTTGGAAATCATAGATTAGCTGTTACTCAAAGTTGCCAAGAAAATTATTAGGTTTATGGATTTCCTATGGCGGTTCTGTGTTCATATATTAAGGACATTTTATTGAAATGTGTTGGTGGTACGAATTTCAGAATGAGTACGTATATATTTCAACTTAGGGGTAGTTACGTACGCGAAAAATATGGTCCTCAGTGTACGGGTGGAAGACCTTGTTCTTGAATAATTAAGATGTTAGTCTAACTCGAAGTGCATTGACTTAAAATCCACACGAAAGTTCGGCATCATTCAGTGAAAGTTTCAATTGACACTGAGAAACAAGCTTTTTATCTTTAATATTATATAACAACGTTTTCGGCGGGAAGACGCCAAATGGACAAACACTAATAATAATTGCTGGTCTTTTGTTTTTCAAAAGCACCAGTTCTAAAAAATCCACTCGCGCTTAAAACACTACAAAAGACTTGAGAATAAAAAGAAATACGGCAGTACAAATAAATATCACAAAACGTAAAAGTTCAACTTTTATCATTCACATTATTAACGAAAATTCCTGGAACATGGTAATAGCTCATACTCTTTGCTATTATAGTCTTTGGTAATTAATACCTGTAGATTCTATCAGAAACGCTTGACAATGGCCAACATTTTGTAGGCTGCTATAATTTATCGTTCATAATATGAACTAACTGTCCTTACCTAACCTCAAATACTACAGTTAATTCTATTTTGATATTTTAAAAGTATCCTTTCTATGAAAGGAACCATTTATAATAACACAATGAATGCACCAGTCACCAGCAAACGATCATGGCGGACGGTCATCGGCGTCGCGTTCTTAGATTCAAGAGGAGAAAAATCTTAAAATTTTCATTACGCAAAACGTATTCCTCGTCCACTTATCGTTCTCTTAATGAGGTAAGAAATCATTTATATTGTATTGAGATGTGGCCTCAAGTTGGTGGTTTAGGCGCCCAACCATCAAGTATTAGTTTAATATTGTCAAGTTGTACTTTGATGAACAAATATGGTTTGTTTATGAAAGATTATCAGTGAGCAAGCAGATTTTTTTTATTTACAATGGCATCAAAAGGATAGCTGGGGTTTCATATAGTAAGCATGAATATGTCTTAAAGACTATACAAAATTAGAAATTAGTCTGGAAAAATTGGGAAGAAGTCACGAAATTTTCTTTTTGAAATATAGGAGAACTTTGTCTCAACGTTAATCTTAATAAAAAAAAATGTCATTATCAAGAAATTCACCGAGAAGAGCCTTTAAAGTACCCAACTCTGCTTTCCTTGCAGATCACTTTGGCACAAATACACATTAATTTTCCTTTGCTGTTGTCTTTTGAGAATTTCAATAACAATTCTTGTTGCAACGTCAAGGATCCGTCTGGAGGGCATCTTGGCGCCGATTAACCTGCGAGTAGGTAATGTCATTGTAATGTCATTTAGGCAAGCGTGAGTTCTAGCGTAAATAATTTTCACAATGTAAACCTTTACACCAGCAGTGGTCCCTGCGCCGGCTCTCCGCCATTACCTGTACTCCTCGCAGACACTCTCCACTCGTCTACACCTCATTATTCCACCTTTTCGAGTACGTTATCGATCGCAAAGAGTTCAAGACGTATGTATGGAGTTCCACAAATTACGCTCACCGAAGTAAAACAAGACATGATTTAATTTAACTTTCCGTCATCTTTGTTTATGTCTAAGTCATGTTTATTCATCTTTTTATATCCAGTTAGTGGCGTCCAACACCTAGCATGATGAACAGCAGAAATACAGAATTGCTCCAAGTTCTCTTTTTACCTACAGGCTAAACTCTTGCCATTCTACAATGTAATCAGTTTCAGTTTATTATCTTTCTTAATACCCCGCAAATCTCTCTGCCATTAGTACCTGCGGCTTTTTATTGACTGCCCTGATAAACATAGTAAACTACAACCTGGTGTGCATTTTAAATTATGTGATGAACACTTTTTAAAAAACTTACGACATTTTAGAACAATCTGGTGGCTTTGTAATTCTGGCTAGTAAATATCTGCCACCGTAGTATTGTAGTGGATCCCTCCCCTACAAACGCTGTTTGTCGCTGGGTAGCCGACCCCTCGAATTCCCCGGTGTATGCCTCGTGGTCTAGGTCAACCAGCGCCGCCTTACATGACGGAGGTCAACTACTAAGCCACGTCTACCTCCGCTATTTAAGACCTGACCTCGTGGTGACCACTCTCTTCTTCTAGCTACAGCC